AACAGTCTGGCTCCATCTTCTTGTGCTGCATCGTCACAGGCAGCCGGAACGTCTCCCTCAACCTCCTCTTCTTCAGTCAGTCTGAACAAACCAGGCCTATCAGCCTCTTCCTACAGGCCTTATGCTCCAGCCTGTGCCAGAGCCCCCAGACCAACACACACCAGCCCAGATGTGCTCTCACCACAGCAGGAAGGGCCACTTTCCTGCACCTCTGCCCACGCTCCTGCTCAGAGAGCCCAGGATGAATTTGACCCTGGGTCTTTTCCTGGTACAAGAGGATTTACTACTTTCTCTTGCTTTGTTTTGTTGAAGTTAAGTATTTTTAGGGCTCTCCTGTTACCAGATAACAGACTGCTTAAGTCCAGATCTATCCAGGGCTCAGAAAAGGGCAGAGATGAGCATATGAGAGCAGGGCACRAGCCAGGTGACCAAGTGTTCCCCATGAAAGGTCTCAACCCCAGACTGAGTCCAGATCCATGGTCAGGACTTGCTCTCTCCATCTCTACAACTCTTTGCAGGGATCGTTTCTGGAAATTGATTCCTTGGGAAAGACATTTGGGTTTTTTAGTGCCCTCCCCTCTCTCTCCTCCACCTTCCCTCCAATTAAACTCTTTAACAGTTTATTACATACAGTATTCTTATATTTTGCAAGCATATTCTGCATAACATTGCACAAGGAAAAAAAATCAGTCAGAAAAAAAATTCTTACTTTAACAAAACGGCATTTTCTGTGCAGGCAACTTTTGAACTAGGAAGGACTCCACCTGTGCTGCTTGCCAGGTGGAATGCACCTCCAGTAAAGCAGGAGATGCATTTCTTCAACTTTCCTGCTCAGTTTGTTAAACAGGTTATCTATTTTTAAAAGCATTGTGTTACCAACTTTCAGGGAACAACACACACTTTCTTTTTTTTCCAACAAAATTAAGCCAACCTGAAAAAAAAAGAGATGATGCATTAATCTCAGTGTCAAGAAACAAAGTCTCTAATGTGCAAGCACGCTGCACAGAAATGGAAAGAGGAAAGTTTATTGACTCCTGGAATGTAATTTTTCATTCCTTTAAAATGCTCAGGGTTGTCACTTTCTATTAATTTTTACTTTTTGTTATGTAACACATGCACAATGCAGCTTACAGTCACTCCCGTCCCAATAGTTTACAAAAGATGTGCAGTAATTTAATTTACCCTAATTGCTAGCTTAATCTAATTGAGAGCTTACCAGCAGCAGCTGCAGTGATCCAGCATAAGCAAGGACTGGTGATTATTAACTGATGTTCCTCCTCGGAATGACTGTTTTAGGTGACACAGAAAAGAGAAGACAAGCGGCATTCCTTAGTCCTCTCTCCTTTGGAAGGGAGGAATCGGTTGCTCTTTTTTTTGGGAAGCACTTTTGTTTGATGCAGGATTTAYCAACCACCGTGCAAGGCTCCTCTGCTATGTTAATATTCTCCCATATAAATGGCAATTTTGGGGTGTATTCCCCCAAAACTGTCACCGAGAGCAGATCTGGCCTTGCCCAGCTGACATTACTCTTAACGATTCCTCCTCTCCCGGCATTTCTGCCTTTCTTTTGCAATATTTAAATCCCCAGGAAAACCCTACAAACAAGGAAGCTGTCCCTCAGTCTTACACAAATACTGTTTCTTTTTTTTTTTGGTCTTTTGCACAAGTGCTCTAAGCACCCTGAAAATCTTAACACAACAGATCCAGGGAAAAGTCTGAAGTTGCCCAACCTACGCACGGTAAAATTACAAGAAAAATTACTCCATGACAAAGGCATGACGACCCCAGTCTGCTTATCCTGGCGAAAGAACAAGTGATGCTGTCATCCGGTGTTTGATTTATGAGGCAATAATGATTGCCTGTGATTTTGATCCTGCAAAAGTTAAAATAATATCCTGTATTTCAGACTCCRTAACAAAAAACTCTTTCTGAAGGACTCCTCTGTATGCAGCAATACAACAAACTTTTGTACCTTGTAGAAAAAGAGCCCGAATATTTAAATATTTTCCTTTGTAATTTCTCAAATAGATGCAATTTAAAATGCCCTCAACAGCAGTTATAATATATTAATGTGTTTGTGCCCAAGGACCAAAAAGACTTGCAAAAGACAGTGAACCACAGAGGATGCTTTTCTTAAAAAAAGGAGGTCTGAGCACCTTTCTTGGCAGTCCAAGGGTATAAACACATACTCATTTAGCTGACTGACCATGAATGTATATTAATACAATGGTCAATTAATCAATTTACGTACGGGAAAGCACAGGAATTAATCACACAGTGAAATGCTGAAATAACAAAAAATAATTTTAAAAAATGAGACTCACAGCTTGTCCTCGTGCTCTGGACCTAGAAACAAACAGAAAACAACCAAGAAAGGCAAGTAGGAAAAGCAACAGTCTGAGCTATCGTGGAGGCAGCAGCCCAGAGACACAGGAGGAAGGGATTTATAGGAATATCTTTACAAATGTAGCTCATGTAAATCACATGGAGCAACATATGCTTTCTTGGAGCAACAATGAGGAGCAAAGGTGCCACTGTGTCCTGGAAAAACTGGAGCTGGAAGACTTGTGAGCTCAGATYGGGACTGAGGAATCCCAAGAGCACAGAAGACAGAAACTGAAAATGTAATAAGGGGAAAAATGCAATTGAATATATTTTAGTATCGAAGCCCTGCAGATATTAAGCAATGCAAAAAAAAAAGAAGCCAGAAGGGAGAGTATCTACTGCAGCCCCTTCACTCTGCAGCCCAGGTGATTACTCTGCCATCCTGGCGAGGCTCTTTGGGGCTTACACCACCACAAAGCAGATCAGATGCTCAACGTCTTGCCTTGATTTTAGGCAAGAGAGAGAGGSAGCTAAAGGTGGGACTGGCAGTGCAGATGTCCCGGAGACTCAGAAAGTCCCCTTCCTCCTCTCCTGCAGGGCTCATGCTCAGCCCTTGACTCAGGGTCCCAGCCACCAGATCAGCAGCGCTCTGGGAACTGCTCATGGACAAAACTTGCCCCGTCTGTAGGCCCCTCAGCCCCAAGGAGACTTGGGCTCAAGTCTCCTACCCAGGCTGGACCCATAGCATCCCCAGCTGAGAGCTGCTTGGAGCCACCCAGCTTTCCAGCGCTGAAGGAATTTTCCTGCTTTCCTGGAAAAG